TTTCGCTGGGCCTTTAACAGGATGCCTGACTGCTTCTCTTCGCAGCGCTGGCTAGAGGCCTCTTCCTGCAGGAAGGAAGGACGGACGCGAGGCGGTAGCGGTGCGGCTGCTTCTATCCGGGCTCATCTGTTTCTTCTGCTGCAAACATCTGATTTTGATGGAACTTGCCTGTCTGTGTCTTATTAGAGCTTTCGGCATCCGTTGTATAAGACAAAACACTAGTTGTTATTCACAGCAGGTAATAATACATGGAGGGTTTTTTAACCGCCATTCTGAAAAAAATCAGTTAGGGTGAACGTACAGCAGACAGGGAAACGCTAGGAGCTCTCAGGTGGAAGGGGATTTGCCCTGTCGTTGAGCTGAGTCTTTTTACCACAGTACAGTTGATGACATCTGTTGCCATCATCCCATAGACTGTCAGGTGTTGCTTTGTATGATCTATTAACATTTCTAACATACTGCATTATATAATGCACATAATCGTATAATCGCATTAAAATGAATCATTAATACTAAGTCATAGTGCAACTAGTGCAGTTTACTCCTATAAGGACTGAGTGGAGAGCAAAAATCACAGATTAAGTCCTGTTTCAGTATGGCCTTTCTATTTTAATAGTGATTTACAGTGTTTAGGATTGAGTGACAACAGGTTCTGTCATTTGTCGGGGGAAACACAAGGCAGTGTTGTTCATTGAATTGAATTAGACTGGAGAGACGATAGTAGATTAAAGCACAAGTAATATGTTTAACACTGCTAAGCATCTTTCAGGGGCTTTCCACAGGTAGCTTCTACCATTAATCTGTTTCATCAATTCCCGATGCTGCTATTTGAAGCCAAGCACAGAATTTTCTGATTTGTGCATCCTCCACCATCCTCTGGTCGAGATGCAAAATCACTTAAGAGTCCTTACTCCTCTTACTGATGCCTTTTGGCTTTATAGAGATAACGCGGTGTATTTCTTTTTAATGACCGTAGCCTCTGCAGGCTCAGAGGCCTCTTTGTATTGCACATAAAGCCACAAGTATAAAGCTTTGTTTCTTTGAAAGAACTGTAAAGTGCTAGTCTTTCCATTTTTGGAAAGTATCCTGCTAAGTACTGAATAAGAGGTAGTCAGGCAATATTTAAACAAGTAACACCAATGAGTCACAGAATTTTTTGAGTTCCAGCTTTATTCACAACAATAAAAATATACATCACCATAATGTTTATGTGGAGTTGGTAGTCTGACATCTTGTACAGTTAGATTTTGTGGGTGTTCCTTTAAACAAGGAAATACATGCAAATAAATATTAAATATAACATTCCTGAAATTATAAATCTTTATAGCAGCAAGGATGGAAATAAAGCTTTCATTTGCTATAAACTTTAATTACATAATCTCCAGGTGAATATAGACAGTTGTGTTTAATACTTTTTGAAACAAGTTACTACAATAAGTGAGCATGAAGCTGCAAGGCACAAGACAAACATTCACACAGTTCATCTGTTCCAAAGATTTGTGTTGCTTTACTTATTTCATGCTACTCGGAAATAAATGCACACTACAAATTCTGAAACAGAGGCGGCAAGACTAACAACATCGGTTTGTTAAAGGTTTTACTGATGTAGATAAATTACGACATAGAAATCGTTGTTTAGGCCTTGCTGGAAGTATTTCTCAAAATACATTCATTATTGAGTGGAAATGCCTTTCACTGAATTGCTTCCTCAGTGCTTGAAGGATATTTATAAAGGTTTGAAGTGAGAGTTTAATCGGGGGGAAAAAAAAAAAAAAAAAACCAACCACCCTCCTCCTGCTAGTCCAAGATCCCACTTAATCTTGCTCATTATTTTGCTTGGGTTCTAATAAGCTAGCAGTTGCAAAGTTTGACATTTGGTGCTGGAGCTATTCCTTATGGACGTGAATCCCCCAGTTCTCAAGTGACTGGTAGGGAAAAAAGCCAATCAACTCAAAAGCATTTCAAATTGCTGAAAGAAATCTTTTGACAGCAATTAAGTACAGATTTCCTTCCACACATAAAAGGACTTTTATTGTCCATTCCTATGTCTGTCCTTACTAATTTATGATCTGTATTCTTATATGCAGCTATATTATATAGAATACTGTACTTCTTCCAGCATGTTAGTGAGTTAAAGCACTTCTCCTGTAACTTCCTATTGCTGTAGTAAAACTATAATCTTGTGCACAGCTGCACAAGTGGCAGAGACTTTTCTTAGGTTTGCACACAAGCAAGCAGGGGCAGTAGTAGTACCCACTCTTGAATATTTATGAATGAAATTATTCCCTCCAGTGTGCATTATCATATAGATGTTTATTTCATTTGTCATCATGCTGCTTTTCACCTACCAGTGATTTTAATATTATCAGTGTTTTCCTAGTCAAAGCACTTAAGGATAGATGTTAACTAGAAACATCAAGTATACTCTCTACATTCAGGAAGGTAATTAATTAAATGGCAAGACAGCAGTTAACATGTGTATATGTATGTAGTATAGTCAGGTATTGTATTATTAATGGTCACACTACATAGCAGCTTAAATTAAATGAGGCTTCATTGCAAGGTCCGCTCTGCTACCGATGTTACAAAGAGATGAACTGGAAATGGCCTGCGAAGAAGCCAGCATGCTCAGCATACATAAGCTAGCCTGAGAACTGTGGTGGATTTCTACAAATGTGTCTGACTTTCCCCCTGGAGCTCAGTTACAAGCATTATAGCAGAAGAAGGTAACCCTTCCTCTCTAATTCAATTCTAATTTGATGATTACAAAACTAATTCACCCTGTAGGCAGTCTGGATTCTATTACAATGATTAAATAATTCCATGCAAAGCAATCTAGCTTCAGGCAGGAAAGATGTCAACTTATATCCCAGAATATTCAGTGACTTTTCTGGCAATGGGGGATGTGAATTTAAATCTGGAAGAGGACTTGAAAATAACTTTCATCTCTGCTGAGCAGTCTAACTGCTAGGCTGGGAAGTTACTGATCACAATGAGGCTGTGGGCAGGGATGTTCTGGGACCCGGTCTTTGCCACCTCACCTTGCCCCTTTGTTGTAAAGGAAGCCTGAACGGCTAAGCTGGATAAAGATGCGTAAAGCTTGGTACTGAGTGAGGCAATGTCCCACAGCCCCTCTGGTAAAGGTACCTCTGACTTTTTTTTTCCTCAGTATTAACTCTTGAAGCCATCAGCGATAGTTGTAGATAAGCAGTTTAGATGCATTCAGTGCAAGAGCCCCTGCAGTCTTAAAATCACTACTCGAAACTTAAGGGTGTTGCTCCTTGCCCCCCCCCCCTTTTTTTTCCCCTCAAAAGTCTATCTATCTGATTGATTGCCAGCTGAGGAGGGGGAAGGTAGCCTCCCCCCAAGGGGCTGGGAGCTGGCAAACTGTTCTCTGTGCTGAAAGGACACCATTAAACTCACCTGGTAAACATCTTCAGTCCTGCAACCATGAGTAAACCATCTTGCACGTATCTCATGCCTGGAGAAAACAAGCCAGGCTACAGAAGAAACAAAAGTGAGCACAGACTGTGAAATACTTAATGCTATCTTTTCCAAGTTGGTGAAGTCTGGTAAGAGACACTGTGGCCACAAGCTAGCTTCTGCATGCTTGCATCCACAAGAAGCAGAGTGTAGCTTTGAAAGCCAATGTTGTTTTGAAGCACAAGTCATTATCTTGTCCCTGTTAACACCTGTGTGCCAGCTGGAGCTGCAGAGTACACTGTAAAAGCTAAAGCGCTGTGCGTGCAGGAGATACTTCCATCAGCATCGATAAGAGATGACATGCACCTACTAATAGCAGGAGAGGGCCCTATTAGGCACTAGTTTTGATGTTTTTTTTTTTTCCAAGTTAAGCTTAAAAAGAGCATTCAAGAATGTGCGCCACACTACCTGCTGCAGTTGTAGATCTTCAGGATGCTGTTCCTCACCTACCCAGAAAACAGGTAAGCATACTTTGAACTTACAACTTTAGGAAGCTCTTACCGCAAAACTGATTCTTTCCTAAAGCACATGTTGTGTTCCACTAAGTTATTCTTTCTGAAACTGGTGATAGCACCTTGTCCTGCCCCCATAAAAGCCTTTTTCTTTTTTTTTTCTTTTTTTTTTTTTGCCAATAATCATATTCTGTATCTTTGTAATTTAATCAGTCAATCATTCAGCTCGCCCTCTCAAGCTAATAAGCCATTGACCCGGTGGTTTCAGGCTGGATCAATGCTATGCTTAAGTTTCGGGCACCTGGAGGCCTTGTGTACAAATAGGCAGAAACTCGGTTAACTAACTTTAGACATGATCAGTTTTTTCCTCAGATGCGTTCATTCGATTAGCAGATTGCTTTCCCCAGAAACCTTTGTCCAAAAGCCTGCAGGCAATGAGCAGTGTATGCTTAAGTTTCTGGCTGGAGATGGCATACTTATGCCACTTGCTTGGGTATTTAAGGGTTTTCACGTATATTGTACAGTTCATTGTTCACAGTCTGATTCACCTGTAGAAATCTTAGCTGAACGTGGCCTGACAAGTGGCAGCGTAGACACTACTGCCTACCGTGCCTCCACTACTGATGCTGTTGGCTGGACACTTCAGTGGTTTCATACTGCTGTCCCTCTGGACATATAAATGTTCCAATCTCCAGCGCTCCCAGCTCTTACGAAACTCCATCTGAACCTAACACGAGCAAAGAAGGAAACAAAAGAACCAAATGTAGAAATAATCAGATCTTGAAAAGATTCCTTTAGAAAAAGGCAAGAAGAAAATAATCACACTACTTATAAAAGCTGGCAATGTTTTAAGCCTGGAACATTGCTTCAAATTATTTAATTATCTTATTGGTCTATCATCGGCTATTCCATTTTTAAAATGATGACAGCATTCTCTTTTACTTGTAGAAATAAAGCTCTGTTATGCTACAGTGCACCAGGAAATCTTACCCTCGTTACTTTATTCCTAACGGTATTCTGCTGCAATGCTGAATGTACTCTGTGCGTTATCTACACTAAAAAATAAGTTGATTTTGCCTCTCATCAGCAATGAAATGACTTAAAAGGCTGGCTTCCTGCTCAGTACTGTCACCAGAGGTATTTTTAGAGTTCCATTTTAACTTCTGAATTGATTTAAGCAGTACTGTGTCTTGAATTATTTTTGCTCTTTGGATTTTTTTTTTTTTAATTTCATTCAAAATAAAGATTTATTCAGAATTGAAACATGAGCAGTCTAGCACATTCAAGACTCGTATGCATTAAAGGATAAAATCAATACAGAATTCCAAGTTCCTAAATAGGGTACTGAAAAACATAGCAATTAAAAGGATAAAAGCAAACTGTAAAAAATGCAAGTGTCTTCCCAAGTGGTATCACACCAGCTGTAAGGTGACTATATTACAATATTTCTGACAATATGGCTTGGCAGGGATGTTTTGCATGCCCATCACTTTGATCAATCAGTTCTTTATCATAACCAAGTATGGAACCAGATCACAATACCAGATGCAGAAGTTCAGCATGCCAAAAAGGAGAGCACTCCATTTCTGCACCTCTATTGTTTCTATTTCATAAAAAAAGACAATGCTTGCGCTTCTTGTTTTTCATTATCAGGTGGTCTTCTTCCTGCGCACTTTTTTTTCTTTTGAAACAATAATTACAATATCTCTTTCCAGGTACCCTTTTTTTTTTTTTTTAAAGGTACAAAACATGCTCATCCAGTCACAGGTTCTGGGTTAAACGTTGTAACCTCTGTAGCAAGTTGAAACATTGAGAAGGGTTTTTGAAACTCCTGCACCAGCAATAACAGAATTTAGATCTTCCTGTTCCACAGGCAAAGTTCTTGCCACTTGCCTAAAATAAGAACTTCCATTAGCTTTTAACATGTACGGTAAAGGACATAAAATTGAACCTTTTTTACTCTATTTAGAAAAGGGCAGCAGTGCAACTTCAGTAATCAATTCATTATGGCATGTACTTCAGCCTGGAAGTAAGTTGGGCCTCAAGTAAGACTTCTCTGGAAAACACCTTTTTGTGTGTGTGTGTGGGGGGGGGGGTTGTTTTTGTTCTTCTTTTTTTTTTTTTGGGTACCTCTGAGGGGTCTGGTATTGACCCTCAAGAGACCAAATGGAGCAACTGTGGTCCCACACAGGTCTGTCATCACACCCTGCCTGCTGAAAACTTAAAACTCTAGTGAAAACTTTCCAGGGACCCAGATACTGTGTATTTACTTGTTCATTTTCAAATAATGAACCCAGGAGGCTGTCCTAAAAGAAGGAGGGGATAGGGTAGGATTTATTTTGTAGAGAAAGAGGCAGTTCTTGAGCAGAGAGGTAGATCTATAGGTCTTTCAGCATAATAATTAGCCTAGGAAGTTCTGTGTGTGGATGAGATGCCCCTGAAATAAGGCCAAAGGAGGAGAAGGGAAGCAAGAGCAGAATTCTGAAATCCCATGAGGAAGGGGTGAATGAAAATTCTTACGAAGGATATTTTGAAAGAGTAAAGGGAGAACTAGGAGAACTTTAAAAAGTTACTCATGGAAGTTACATGAGGAAAAGATTACTCAGAGCAGCTGACTGAATCAAATGCAGCAGATAGGCAAGGATGATAAGACTGTGGCAATGAGTCTGAAATCTGTTTACAAAGAAGTTAAACTCTGGCAAAGGCCATCTTAATAAAACACAGTAAAAGGAAACTAGACTGAAATGACATAGAATGGCACTAGCAGAGGAGCTCAGTGGATGGTATGTATAGAGAATATTCAATTTAAAAAAAAGTAAGATTGGGCAGGAATTAAAAAAGCAACTAGAGTCAGACAGATTCTTTAAAGGTGGAAAAAACTGACATGTACTTCCATTGCAATAGGAAAGAGGCAAAGTGGCCAAGACTGGAGAACGGAAGCCAAAGCAGTTAAAACTTATTCTGGTAGAAAGCAGCAGCATCTCTCTGATTAGAATATTTATCAAAGAAAGCAACAGTAATTGCAGAAAACCTGATCATATTAAGCCCAGCTCATTTTTCAAGGAGCATTGGTGATAAGAGGAAATCTGAGGAGGCTCTGCAGTTTGCTTCAGAGCAATACTAGAGAAGATGCAGAATTCTTTCAGATGAAATGTGACCAGAGGTATTTTAACGTTCTTCCACAAGTAGATCGTACAAAGGGATATTAATATCACTGCTAACTTCACTCTTGCTCTTGATCTGGCACTGACACTTGCAAAAAACTTTTATGCTGTATGGTGAAGTCAATGGGCCATGGACAAAAATGAAAATACGGACATATGTTATATAAAAATATAAGCATAAGCCTCAGGCACAGGTAGTCTGAGAGATGAAAAACAGTTTGAAAAGCATGAATTTCCCATATAGTTCAGAAAAGAAATGGAAAAGACTGGACCTAATCAAACTGTTTATCTAGATTTATTTTATGGATGCCGATAACTGAGTCTGACAAAATTGTTTTCCCTTCTCTTAACAAGAATTGGAACAAACAAAAGCATTCACTCTAGATTGTCTGTCAAGTTTCTGTCAAGCTGAACACACTACCATTACCTTTTAGAGATTATTTCACTGAGGAAAGAGAACAAGCAACAAGAGACTTGGAGGACCCCCGACAGATTTAAGCAGGCTCCTTCACAATAAGTTCCCTGAAATGAAACAAGCTTACCCATTTCAGGGTTTGTATTGAAGTTTGGTCTACAATGTAACTCTGCCCGTGTATCATACTGAGGAGATTATTAGGCTCTACTCGTCAGAGAGCGGGCTGCAACAGCTCAGAGAACGTGTGAGCAAAGACCAAAGCGAATCGAAATATATCATGTAGCAGCAGACAGCGCTGCAACTCAGTATTAAAGTGCACCTGTAAAGCTATACAAGGAATTTTGCACAAGCATTGTCTCATTTATTCATGAGTAAAGCCTGCTGCTACCCACCCCTGACTTTTATAAGCAGTACAATTAACACATTCACTTTAACAAAATCTTATGCACAAGCTACAGAAGTGAACAGTCTCCTACAGGGCTTCATTCGGTTGCCTGCTACCTGTCTGTTGAATCCAGCCTGGCCATGACGACAGAACTAGAACATTTTTCTGTCAATTCCAATTCCTTGATGAGGCCTATTTCTCAAAAGACAATTGTGAATTACTGCAGAGATAAGTAGATTTAGCATGAGCGTAAAACACAGTGATGCGTATTAGACTTAAAAATGTGCTGCCAGCTTAGCAGCGTTTGCTTCCCTTGAAAGCCTGACTGCTCAATGAATGGATAACAATACTTAAAAGGTAACACGAGTGGATCCTGCAATATAGAAACAGAACAATGCTCTATCCCTAAAAGGGCCAGGGTGCAGCACAAACCGCAGAAGATAGTATGTGTACCCAGAGTAACACAAAGCCCTGGTTAAATTTCTTCTGGGCTTGCGGAAAGCTTACTACTCCGTGAAGCTCAGTGCTCCATTTATATGAGGGGACTGATGATGTCTTTTAAGTAGCTGGGCCACAGGGAAACCAAACTAAACCAGATTGTGTGCAGACATTAGCCCAGAGGACTCTCTAACTTCACCAGCTACGAGACTGATTAAGAAGAGCAGCTGAAATTCTCAATAAAGGGAAAGCTCCAGCACAAAAAACTATACAAACATGAGCAAGAAAACACAAAAGATTTGAGGTCTACAAACACTGCCCCTAAACTATGCTGCCTGGATTCTGTCCCACAGCTTTTAACTGAGGAGTTACCCTGTATGGTTGTACAGAGGAGGGTCTGTAAGAAAAAAAGTCCTGAACTGGGACAATTTTACAGTTTAAGACCATTTTCAATTTCCTTTTTCTACAGTGGATGCTGATAAGGCAAACTGGCACAAGCCCCAGTGTCTCTCTTACCTCATTATTGATGAAACAGTAAAGAATTGCAACCATCAGCCCCTGAAATCAAGAAAACGACAGAACAGCAGTGAGCAGAACAGAACAGTTCCCCTACTTAGCTAAGCAAAGCTGCAAAGGGCTAGGCCTGTCTCATATCACACCAGCATGTCCCGCGTGAGAGAAAAGCAAGACTGAAAGAAGGAAACAATCTATGGTCCCACAAGCTACAGAAGTGAACAGTCTCCTACAGGGCTTATCAGCTCTGATGGCAGAGGCAAAGTATGACTAAAGTCTATCTCCAAGCACATGATCTTAATAAAAATAAGCTACTGCTTTCTTCAACCTCTGCCATGTTTTTTTCCTAAGGATTCATTTCCCCTTCTCCTTTTTTTCTTACCCATTTTCTAGCTATAAATACTTCATATATGAACAATTCACAGTGAGTTTAAATACAACGCTATGCTTGATAAGCAGGGAATGAGCAGATCAAAAGGGAAACTAGAAGAATAATCATTTCCTTAGACAAGGACATTTCCTCACATGCAGTTACAGTTGTAGACAGCTACCTCTCACAGCACAGTTTTTCAGAAAAGCATCAGAAACACTGGAGAAGGCACAAAATTTGCTTTCAGCAATACCATTACACAACTACAGGAAATCACAGACAATTTCATTATTGCCTCAAGATATCCCATAGGAAATAAAAATTAATACAGGCATAGACCAGTTTATTGTGGGAAAGTTAAGACATTGGGAATAAGAGTATGTGACACTAACATCTAAACTGGCTATGAAAAATTGTGATAGTGGGAGGGAAGTATGAGGACTAAACCTGCAATATCCACTGTTAAATTGAGAAATATAAAGAAAAGGGAACATGCAATGAATAAGAGAGAGAACAGGTCCTCAAACAGCTGTTACAGAACATCCTGGCCAAATGTGCACAGTGTAAGTGCTACCTGGAAAGAAGCAAAGGAGAGTTCAGTAAAAAGCTTCACAAAGCGCAGCATCCCTCTGGCATGCTCATCAGTAATAAAGGCAAAGATGACCTCATGGGTCCCCAGCAGTGGGATGAGAGTCAGTGTAGACTTGGCCAGCCTAAAATCATAAAGAAAGAAAAAACAATGCCGTGAAGTAGCTACTGAATCCCCACTGCTGATCCCCACTGATCACAGTGAGTCACTGTTTCTGCGTTCTGCTTCCAACACGTTGCGAACTTTGGTAAGTCACCCCATCATTTTGTCTCAGGATCCCCCCCCAAAGGCACAAAATAAAAAAAAAAAAAAAAAAAAAAAAAAAGGCCTAGAACAATTTGAGTAGGTTTCAGCATGTTTTTACTGCTCCTATCACTTTACTGCAAACCACTTGCTTCCCTGAGTAGGGCTCTATATTCAGCTCCTGGCTGTATTTAGCCTGGAAAAATCTTCCAAATTCAGGAGCACGTACTGTGCTTGTATGTGAGATGTCTTCTTTGTATCTGTCTCTCCCCCTGTAAGTGGGAATGATGATCAAAACCTACCTTGTTGATGGCCTGAAAGAAATAATCTATCAGTGACTGGAATCTTTTAAAAATGTATTGGCAAGGGGAGAAGGAGTACTTGCTATTCCTTCCCACATCCTGGTGTGTTAAATCTTCAAAGCATTGTAACTAACTGTAACTGCAAAACACTTTGTAAAAGCAGTTAAACCATCTTAAAGTGAGTTACGACTCCATGATTTAAGAGGCAAGTTCAAAGGCACAACTAGCAAAGGAAAAAGCAAACCAGCTTGAAGTAAAACATTTTTCTCCTGTAGGAGAGCAATGATCAGGGTTACAAGTACAGAAAAACACTGACCAGAATGGTCCTTAACTGTCTTTTGACAGGCATACATGCTAAGCCATTTAACAAGACAATGAAAGATGTCTGAACCTCACATGGGAGCTTATGGGCACGGGCCACAGAACCAGTCAGCACTGCCAGTGTCTCACAAGGATCTGTGATGGCTTTTCCATCAAAGACAGAAACAAAATCACGAGACCAGTAAAGCTGTACATAGTAAATCTTGATTGCTCTAGGACTGTTGACTGCTATTCTGAATCACAGAATCATTCCAGTTGGCAGGGGCCTCTGGAGGTCTGCAGCCCAACTCTCGTTCACAGCAGGGCATACTTGGAAGTTAGAGCGGGGTTGCTCAGGGCTGTGTCCAGTCAGGTTTTGAACATCTCGGAACGTCAGAGATTGCACAGCCTCTCTGGGCCACGTTTCAGTGTCAGATCTCTCTCGCTGTCAATCTTCCCTCCCACCCTCACATAAACTGCTTGCTACAAATTGTGACAGCTGCCCTTTGTCCTTTCGCTGTGCGCCTTGAAGAAGAATCCAGCTCCATCTTCTCCATCACCACTATTAGGTACCTGAAGACTGCAATTAGGTCCTCTCTTAGGTTTCTGTTCTCCAGGCTGAATAAACCCAGTTCTCAACACCTCCTTGTATGTCACCTGCTCCAGACTGAACTATCTTGGTGAAAAACTGAAGCAAGTCTCAGGAGAGGGGGCAGTCTCTTTCTTGTGTTGGGGAGCCCCAAACTGGACAGCAGGCATAGCCTTACACTGAATAGAGAGGAAGAGTCACTCCTCTTGGCCTTCTGGCTATACTCTTGCTAGTGCAGCCCAGCATGCAGCCAGCCTACATCGCCTTAAGGGCACACTGCTGAATCATGTTCATCTTGTTGCCCATTAGGACACCCAGATCTTTTCCTGCAAAGTCACTTTCTATCCAGTCAGTGCCCAAGCTGTACTGCAGCATGGGGTTACTTTGCCTCAAGTGCAAAGGCTTTGCATTTGCCTCATTTGAATTTCTTAAGATTTCTGTCAGCCACACACCAGCCTGCCAATGTTCGGGGCACACAAGGACTGAGGGATGGTGAATCTAAGCAGCTATCTAAATTAAATAGTTTACACATACAGGTAGGCAAAGATGCAAGTCCCTAGTGGACCAGCGCAGGTCATTCCACTGAGTGGATAGGGAGGTTGTTTAAAAGAGCAGCTTACCAGCAAGCCTTGTCATAGAGGTGCTTCACCACCAGCTGCCTGAAATAGAGGTAAGCCGGAAGCTGAGACTGAATTGGCTCTGGAGACACCAGCTGGGTAAAGAAAGGGAGTTGTGGAGGTGTACATCAATCCCCTAGTTTTCACTGGAACACAAATGGGTCTAGATCCATCTACCTAGAGAGTTCTGCCTTAAACAGGAAGACATGAGAAGGCCTACGAAAAGATTTTCTGGGCAATTAAGACCTCCCTGAAGAAAATCTTTCCCCTGAGCATGGTGAGAAATTTCTCCACAACGCCAGTCCTTCCACAGAGAAAAGGGATTTGCTGCCATACTGAACAGTGAGCTTGCTCTCTTCATCAGCTGAATGGGCAGCAGGAGGCAAGAGGAATAAAAATTGGCCTGCGAGTAAGAAATGATTTTTCTGCTTTCCATACATCACTACATCTAAGCCAGTAACTTTCTAGGGTACCTAGACTGTTTCTTGTTTAAAACAACACATAACAAAATACAAAGTAGTGTCTTCCACCCCCCACAAAATAGTTTTGCATCTATTGGAGAAGAAGAAAAGGGATAAAAAAAAAGTTCTGATGACTTACTGCACAGGCTCTGGCTACTGGTCTTGGCACCAGAGGCACACCAACTAATGAACTCTTTGAGTAAAGGTAGAATTCCCCAAAGCTATTGGCTACAACCACCAAGACAAACCTGCATTTTATGTCAGTTTTGCACATCAGATTTGCCTGCAGTTTGGAGATGATGATGCATATAACTCTGATGAAGATCAGGAAATTTACCTGGAGAAAAGAAAGAAGGTTTTATATCTTCATCAAGAAATACAACAAGTGTTCAAAAGTTTACTTTGTGTATGCTTTTCTAGGTCCCTGCACATCCTGTTATTCTGTAGTTGCAGAATTTGCCATGGAATTCAACTCTTTGCTAAGGAACTGTGCTCTGAAATTTATCCTCCTGAAAATGCAAGTAGGTCACTAAACAAAGTAGGGGAGCTTATCTACATCTGCAGCAAGTCAGACATAGGGAGTTTAAACATAGGTGTGAACTGTCCCATTTGTCTTGACTGGAGGTCTTTGACTGCCACAGTTTTGTGGCTGCGTAACATGGCATTTCTCCACAGTATCACGGAATTTGCTGTTCTTCTGTAGCTCAGTTCTGGAATATTATTTTCTGCCTCCCTGTGCTGCAGCTACCTGTTGCAGCTTTCCCCACGTAGGGAACTGAACTGGATTCCTGTGGCATGCTGTTTTGTTATCACGTGCTGCTGTTACAACACGACAGCGTGTGGCCAAATTAAACGCACAAAATGCTATTCAGGAGTTCCAATGACAAAAACCAGCCTGGTTTCATAAGATCACATTCCTGAATGAAAATGTCAGTACCCTCAGAGGTCATCAGCCTTTGAACGTGCCCGTTAGCCACATGTACATCTGTTCCCTGTATCCTGGTCCCTTCTCACAGAAGTGTGCCAACTCCCGGCACGCACTCCATACTCACCCCAATGGCGATTAGAATAGGCAGCCTGATGATCAACCAGTAATTCATATTATAGTTTCTGGTCCAGCAACTAGGGAGATGGCAAAAAGGCGGAACACAAGAAGAAAAAGTTTCAGTACGTTACTAAAACCCCTTATTTTTCATTATGTCAAAGCAACACAGATGGAAAACGATATTGAGAAGTAGATACCAGAAAAGCACATCATGCTGACATGGAAACAGATGCAGTTGCTCAGTTCCTAGAAACACTGAACACTCTGTACTATTGCAGCTATCATAATCCAACGGGATATTATTTGCCTGCCTTTCTTGCCTGCTAATGGCTAGCTCTCCTCCACATTTTGCTATGAATTATCATCAGTTAAGCGTGAAGATTTACTCCATTAAAACCAAGGTCCAAATACACCATTTGCCTGAGAGGGAATTCATTTGAGTCAGACCTTCCTGTGTGGTTCCCATCCTACTTTCCGCATTACTTCTTACTACTCTTAAATCTCTAGTGTCAAGCAATCTTATTATTCAACTGTTGGTTAGCTCTTTATCACATTACCCACCATCACTTTTCTCCTGTCAGTATTTAGAATCAGTCATCTATTTCACTTGCCACTATTTTCAATAAGCTCCTACTAATTCCAACCAGGACAAAGCAATTAAGGCACCAAACTCCAGTTCCTTTAGGGTATGCATAGGTTTCAGGCCCAAAGGAAGTTTTAACAGTTGCAAGCAAGCAAAACCACAGACTAGAGCAATAGCTCCCAACTTACACTGGCCAGCCGAGCCCTCTGCCAAGCAAGTAACACGTTGCAGGCAATAGCATACTCCATTCTCCCTGTAAGCTTCCGTTTCAGCTTTTTAAGTTCCTGTGTCCTTGAGCAACATTGGAGAACTTTTACAAGAAACATGATGCTCAAAAACCGTAGTTTGGGATCACTGATTTGAAGTGAACTCTACACTAGGGGTTTCTAAACCTCGTTACTTTGGGCCCCAACCTGGCCACAGCCAGCTGCTCCCAACTATATGACAGGCCATGTGTGCACAACAGCTCAGCTGTCAGGCTGCAGTCCTACGCCACTTTGAAGCAGTTGTATAAATACACCACAGTCTGGGAATCCCTATTCTGAGATACATCTCAAAACTACCCTTGCTGCATAGCAGCAAGAGCATGCCTAATGTTCGCACGAACTAACTTTGTTACCCTCCTGCCACCCTGCTCAGCATTACTCAAAAGCAAAAGTCATCAGTAAAGCCAGCAGTTAAATGCCAAAAGTTTCTGAATAACACAGGCTGTGAAACGTAACAGGCACTAAACAGCACTAAAGAAAAAGTAGGTTCCTTTACAAAACAGGTTTCTCCCTCTTCTCTAATCTCATCGGCCAAAACACAAACATATGCAATTTTCCTTACATTTTCTTAACAAGCCTATGTAACTTCAGCTTGGGTAACGCTAGTTAAGAGTAAACCCTCAATGCCCCCGCTTGCAATGGGACAGTTAACTTGATGGAAACTAGCAAAATTGCAGCATGTAGTTAGGTGCCCAAGCCACAACCGCACACACACACGACAGAGCAAAGTGCAGCAGCTTGCCTGTGCCAATTCCACGTTTCCCTTGCAGGTACTGGAAGCCTGAGAAGGGCTCAAGATTTCATTTTTACTTTCAGCTTAATGCATACAACAAACACATTATTTTACCAGCTGCTCTACAACCTGATTTCATCCAATTGTGTTTTAGGTGAAAGGTGAGGTTTTAGGTTTAGGTGAAAGGAGGTGTACAGGGCTGCGTGCAGCCTGTGCGCCTGACTCGCAATCCGAGTAACAGACAAACTACTTAACTGGCACGCGTGACTGGGAACTGGCTTCATGTAGCCTTTAAAATTAATTTTATTTGAATCCCCCAAGACAGGCAGGATAATAGGCATGGCTGGAAGTGGAGTTTTAATTTTCTGAGCAGCTGCAGTGGAAGCAGAGACAATTTTAAAATTTCCAGATAATGACAGAGGCTGAGAAATGGTCCTTTACATTAACTCTGCTACATTTCTGTGTGCATTAATTTGTTTCCTGTGGCACCAAGCAGTTTAAGCTACTTTTAAATTTATACAAATATGTGCAATAAAAACACCATTACAGTCCAATTAAAGTGTCACAGCTATTAAAGTGTCCAGAAAATAAAACTGATCGAGCTGTACATGATTTCTTGTCCGTCTGTGCTTTCTGGGGTTGCTACACTGACAGATACACCAATACGTACTGCGACTGGGATCTATTCCTGCAGTTTGCTCAGCACCACTTAGAAGACGCTTAGCAACCAATAGCATCAGAGCTGTGAATGCAGAATTGGTCCAATTAAACAAATGATACTGCAAAGTTTCTGCCTTTGCTTACCATTCTGCTATTCTTTTTCTAAATAACAAAACACTGAATTTTTGCCTTGAAGAGGTACGGCTGAATGGCTCCATTTTTCAAAGGATCGTAAGTTGGCTATCTTGCTTCCATAATTAAGTGCAGACAGAAACAAAAAAAGTTTAAGTATCAGCTCTTCAGGCATAATCTAATAATTAAGAAGCACAGCTTGCTTTAATTTTGTTTATAATTTAGACAAAGTCCTTTTTAATAGCCCCCCCCTCCACGGCCTTTTTTTTTTTTTTTTCCCCCCCCCCTTTTTTTTTTTTTTTTTTTTTAAAACAGTAACTGATTTCTAAAGGAGTTCACAGTTGCAGTATTTCTAGTAAGGAAAGCAGGAGCCAGTCTGCAAGTAGGAGGTCTTGCAGGCTTCAATCCTTCTTTCCCAGCGGTTACATACTCAGGACGGCCTCAAACTCTCAGCCCTGACCACATTTACTTCCAGTTATTCCTCACAACCAGGGAAGCAGTCGAGACACAAATGAAATTCACAGCCTGCTGCACAGCCACAGCAGCAGCGCAAAGGCAAACAGCATGAAGGATATCCCTCGCTGCTCCAGCAAACGCCTGCCCAAGGCGCACAAATCTTGCCCTTCAGAAAGGCTGCTGCGCATGGTTATTTATTATTGTATTTTACAAATATTTATACAAGATTTAGAAAATTCAATAAAGGTAAAAAATTGTCCCTTTTAAGGTCTGCTGAAGGCAGTGAGTGACAGTTTTCCTTAATAGGAGACATAAATCAGCTCCGAGCACTGCCTAGGGCAGGATGCTCAGCGTGAGCGCTTTGAATACATTTTCTACATCGATGGCAAGACCGGTCAACGAAACACGGGCTGTTCAGAGACTACGTGTTCTTTATACCTACCCTGATCGTTTCAACAAAACTTAAAATACGTCAGTAGAGCCATGATCTTATTACAGAATAAGACTGAGTCAACCTTGAAAGTCAGAAAATCTTAGCGTTATTTTAGCCAGAAGAGGCAACTTGAATGAACTGGTTTAGCGTTATGAAAGACACTAAAAAAAAGTCAGGTCTTAAAACCTTGTCCCGTGAACACCAGAAGGAAAGACTAGGGGCAGCTCTGACTAAACTGATTTTTTTACCCTGTAGCACTGCTCTAGCAGGGATTGCATTTAGAAAGAGAAACAAAAACAAAACAAAAACCCTCTAAAAAAGTGCTGGCTGGGTTGTTTGGAAACTGAGTAACAGGAAGATCCAATAAGCAGTACATTTAGAATAAAAGGGAGATAGCATAAAGTTATTTATTTCCTCACAAAGACCGCTACTCAGATATTTCCAGGCAATCACTGTCAGTAGGGAGAGGAAGCCACTTTCCTCCCTCTTGTTTAACTATAACACTATTTGCTATACGAGCCATACATAACGCTAATTTCTCAGAACAGCCACTATGGTCAAAGTGGACAAAAAGTATTTTGTGTTTTGCAGCAGTTTTGTGTGGGGTATAGTTGGCCTGGGCAAAACTAACGCAGCCAGACAGAGAATGCGATTTTATCTTATGACGACCTAAACAACGGAAGCTTAAACAAGAATAGGTAATCACATCTCTGCTGCAAGGCACAAGCTAACTGCTGCAAATCACAGGCAAAGTACTGCGGGAGGTTTCTGCCTTCCTCTGAAGCATAACTGTAAAGGCTCCTGCCAAAGGCACAATAGCAGGAGCGGTCTTGGTTGGATGCGAGGACTTCTACTGTTGATACTGTAACTACAGAAAAACAAAACATACCCTTCCTTGACCTGCAAAAGGACAGATTCATTTAGACATGCAGAAAATCCTGACCAGAAAGAAACATATGTCCCTTTCTGAAATGTTATGCAAGACCTTCAGACAAAACACAAGCAATTACACGAGGTTTCAGCACACTGCCAAAGCAAATCACACCAAACAGGAAGCAAACAGTGACCTGCCAATGCACGCACAGCACAAACGAGATAGATAGCTAGAAAATCAGAGCTAAACCAACCCCTCATCTTCATAAAGGTACTTGACAGTTCCCCAGAGGATAACAAACAGCATTGGCACACCTGGGAAGAAAGGAGACAAGGTAGACACTGACATTAAGAGAGAGGGAAAAGCAGGAAGGAGGACAAAACCCCCACATGACGATGAGCAACATAATTAACTCACGGCAGGGTGGCAGCTCCTACCCACCGTGGGTGGCTGCCCATGCTGGCAGGAGGATACTAACCGCAAATAATTAACATACGTAACTCATTTCACCTGGGCCCCCACCTAGCTCCTGACAGGCACGCAGGCCGAACAGCAACAGACCATCACCCCACTACTGGCGTATACCAGCCCTTCCGTGCAGAATTACACCACGGAAACTAATTTTCTGGGAGCTCTGCCGGCCTGCCGTGCTCCGGTTGCACGCTCAGCCCCGCGTACCCCAGACTGTGGGCCACCCTAAGGTAGCGAGCGCGCTCTGGCACAGAGCTGGGGCTGAGGCACGGGCATCGACTTGCGGGGTTGCAGCAGCGGCGGCAGATGCATCTGCTCTTGAGAAGAGGCCTGGTCCTACGCTTACCTGAGGGCGCCTGCGTTACTGTGGGTCACAGTTTCTCTGGGGTGTAAGGGAAAAGGAGACGATGAAAGCCAAATAAGCTGGCACAGCCACTACTCGCTTTACAACTCAAAGGCTTTCAACCCAATCCCTTCCGCTTATGAAACGCCTAGGTCTTGAAAAGTTGTTTTAAAGTGGGTCTGTCAGCCAATGCCAAGTACAGGGAATGCCAAAAAAATAACACACAGGAATGAGAGCAGGCTGAGTATCAACGGGCAGGATGAGGAATCTCTGCCTAAGGATGGCTCAAGACTGACTGCAATTCCTCTGCATACCTCCTTGAACAGCGTCAGACGTTGTAAGTAGGTTATCTGGGAAGGGCAATATTGACTGTGTTCTCATATTGCGTTCTTAAGAGTCATTATGGTGAGAAATCATAAGCACATCAGCGCGCAACACTATGAAAACTTATTAAGCGTTGCACAGGGCAGATGTACAGCTCCTGACAGCAGGAGCTACAGGAAAAACAGTGCTGGCTTGCAGTCTGAAAATCTTCAAGGAGCATCTGCAGTGGGCATTACTAGTAAAATCTTTCTGTTTTGTGGTACTGTATTCTTTCTCTACCATTGGATCAGTTAAATACCACAGACGCTGAAGACCTATTATTCACCTTAATCTGTTAAAAAAGAAGAGAAGAAAACCTGCAAGAAACAAAATCACAGAACAATGCTGATAATTAGAACAGTAGCAGAAGTAAGAAAATGAGACAAGATTACTGGGGTAGGGGGTAGACTCATTTTCCACGGATGCGCTGAGATTACGCAGTATTTTGGGAGTAAAGTTACCGAGAAGTTGGTGCTGCTTTGACGTTGGCATTAAAGATTAAGAACAGGCTCATTGCAAATCATTTCCAAACACAAATGAGCTTTTGATTCACAGAAAATAATTACTGTTTGAATTATTCCTTTCTTGACGTTACTGAAAATTAAGACACCTTAATATGGAATTTGCAGGATAAGTCATGAACACAGAGTACAAAAGCGGTGTGTCAGTGGAGGGAACAGATGTACAGTGATAATGGTAATGATTTGTAGACATCTCCATCTTCTGGATACATAAGAAATCTCTCCATATTTAATTGCATTACTTGACATTTGAATTAAGTGAGAATCTGTTATGAATATTATATTTTAAAAGGACCTAGCTAGCCAGAGGCTGATACTATTGAAGTGCATCATGCTGCTCAAAGATTTTCAGACTGCATCTGGTACACAAATATGATACAAATTAATAGGCAACATGGTGACTTGTACAACATCCTCTGCTCCCTCCCCTCCCGCTTGTGATGGTGTCACAACACCATCAGTCACATTATACGCCCCATTAAAAATCCACAACAATACACAACACAATACATACATGTAAGCTTTGAACGTCAATGTAAATTCTGCACAGGTACCAGCTGACATCTACTGAATTCACAAAGTCTTGTCCCACGAAACGGGTGGCTCTACGTAATGTCTGGGACGCACACTCAGCAGGTAGAATTGTATCCATTTTTCCAAAGCCTTAGTCCAGAATCTAAATAGGAAACTGCACCAATGATATTCCCTAATCCACCCCAAGCCTGTAGAAGACACCCAAAACAGCAAAAGAGCAAGTCTGCGGCACCTCTGCAACGATTTCAGCTTGCAAGGAGTGCTGAGGGTCTGTATAGATTACTTTACAATCTTGATACCTAACTGATCTGAATTAACTGGCACAAAAGCAAACGTCATTCCAGTTACTTCACTGGTTTATCCTAAGACTCAGTCAGGCAAAATCTTACTGACTTGAGCAGGCAGTGGAAGCAAACTATATACAGCTCCTTGAATAAACTCTACAGATACCTATCACTCATGAACAGACTTGAGGTAGTATATCAGTCCTGAGCTCCTGACACACGGCTGTATTGGTGCATGCGAGCTTCAGTCCTGCTGCCACTCAAAGAATATCAGATATCTGAGAAATTACTGCACCTCTTTTAAAACTTACAGGCTGAGCTCATTCTGGCTTCACTTTTTCTCATATAGAAAGCCCTGAGACTGGTCTTTTACCAGATTAACTGACCACAAAAAGGTCTTTGAATTATGGAAACAGTTGTATCTGCTTTTGTCAGCACTGCATCACTGTTGAAGAAGCCAGAAACTGCAACAGTCTGTTTATAATGGCCCGTGCCACGTTGATGCTTGTGAGCTGATAACTGACCAAAAATCTTTGAACACTACATTGTGAATATGAAATCTGTCAAGTGTGCTAGGAAATAAGCATACTGACAGCTCAGCTAAGAAAGTTCAAGTTGGAATGACAGGGGATGGGATTCCTGAAAAATAGGCTGCAATAATTATATATATTGCAGATAGGAAAGTAACACAACTGCCAAATCAACATCTTAACACTCCACTGCATAAATAAGCAGCAGGACCTACCTATTTTCACTCTATCCTGTTTTACCCTTGCCCAGGTGTCTGCAGAGCAAAAAGTAAAAGAAAGGAAGGCAAAAAATAGCCATTACCCACACAAAAAAATCTCAGCAGTTTTAGACTGAATGATAATAGGCCGAGGTAAGCCAAAGAAAGATGTCAGAAATTTTGGTCGGGAACCCACACTTGGTTGACTTTTTTGCCATGTTCCACTGCCCCTGAAGAGCACAGAGGAGAGCAACTAGTGGAGCTGTTAACAGCAGCTACAACATCCTGAAAAGATTCAGAACAGCATGTAGAAATGAGTCTCCCCATTTAATGCGTCTGAGATATTCTGATAACAGAAACCATGAAAGGCGTCACCAGGTGGTGTTATTTTATGCCAACTTTGTTCCCCCAGGGTCTCCTCCAACATACAAGCGACTTTTGATTCTTACGGATGCATTATATTGCTAGCTTTGCATCATGTAAAGGCAATTTCAGGAAAGAAAGATGTCCGAGGAGCAAGAGAGATTCCTCTCATAGTGATTCTTCTTGAAGCAAAATTGCCTCTTTAGGACCACTGATCTACTGAGACTCTTAAATAAGGACATACTCTGCACACTGCATTTTAAAGACTGGTGAGTGTGTGTATAAGCTGGTATTTCAGATGTACCTCGACATCGTTTTTCTTCCATTTAGTGAGAAATCCAACTTCCGAGACAAAAGGCCACACCAACCAGAAGGGCACTGCCGCTGGCGGAACAACTCTGACCTTCATCTTTGTCAGAAACCATCCAGGACAGACTGACCTGATAAACTGTTTAATGTACAAATGCAAGACATATGTGATCAGGAACTCAATTAAGTGATAAATAAATATGACTAGATGAATCAAGGGTAAGAGCATAGAGAAAAATAGAGGAAAGAAATGAAAACTTTTCCTTTCCGAAAAAGGAAAAGGATGAAAGAGGTGAATTTGGAAGACAAGAAACGAGAATTAAGAGAAACTCCCGACTGATACATTTCCTACGAAGCTCACTCTGGACACAGAAGCTACTTTAACATCTTTGTCTGAAACACAGTTTTCATTTGAAAGCAGGCAAGAAATGGCTAGTGCCGCGATTGCATCTAGTTGCTACACTGAGTTCATACTGGGCTTCCGAAGGAAGGTTTCTTGCTGGCTCTCATCCAGTCAGAACTTCCTTGCAATCAGGATGTCGATTTTGACATCCTAGCCTGGCTTCCTGCCTTTACTAGATCCATTCCCTCAGCTTTTTCTTCCTTAGAGCAAGTTTGGATTGGCAAGGGCCAAGTTATTTATTTTTTATGGCAGTTTCCCTACTGCAAGTGCAGCCGGGTGTAAAATTGCTGTAGAAACTCAGAGAATGTTTGGCTTTTTATTAACGTTTTCTTCTTAGTCTTCAGGGCTGAAAATTGCCTCTACGTGTCATTCTGCCTGCTTGGGTGTCACACGCAGTCGCTGCGGGATGTGGCTGTTGTCTCACCATTCCCCTTCCTCCCCTTGTAAAGAGGTCCTTTTGGAAGGATGCCGCTGAAGGACTCGGAGATGGGTTACAGCCAAATATGTTCTTCTCAGGAGATCGCTTTCTACAGCACAATGCAGCTGCTAGAAGTCAATGTCAGGTTTGGGGACTCTGCCTGGGCTCGGACTAGATGAGCCACGTGTTGCGTTGGGCAACTGCACTAAGGGCAGTTAAGGGTGGTCTACACATCCTGAGAACAAGTAAAACAAAAAAAGTAATTCTCTCCACCTCTTTAATTAATGTTGTTCTCTCTTTCTCTCCTTCCCTTTCTCTCCAGGAGATGAGACCTGGGGGCAAGGATTTCTCTTATGCAAGAGGAAGGAAGTGCAGGGTACCAGCAATCCAGCAATGCATAGCAACAGGTTTGTTTTTTTTGTTTTTTTTTTTTGCAGCAAGTGATAACGACTGTATCTGAATCAACATCCTGTTGTGCTGACCTCTGCACTGAGGGGAACAACTCATCTACCTACTCTGCCATTAGCCTGTCAACACGCTTTACAAAATTTGGTTTGTTGATGCTGTCAGCGTTTCCGCTATTCTTTCCCCCATTAGCTATGAAAATGGAATAAGCTTTTTTTTTTTTTTTTAAATAAGATATGTAGAACTCAAGGTTGACACAAGTGTATGAAAATCTGCTTTTACAAAGAAAAAGAAGACATAAGCAAGACATTTTCCACATTAAATGAAACAGTAACAATTTAATGCTGTCATCTCAAAGTATTGCATGAGGTCGCATGAGCCCAGTATGAGTAAGAATACTGATACCTCACAAGTAATCAGGAATGTTTATAGAAACCTATCAAAATAATGATGTCCATACAAATGACTCCTAATTTGTAAAACTGAATTATTTTCCTTACATTAATCCAAGTTTCATAACTTCTCTAGCTTTTGCAGAGTACAATAACATGAGAGATTTTTTCCCCTTATCAAACATTTCAACAGTAAAGAATAATTACTCATTTGAAATTATGCTAAATGGAACACAGTTTAATAATAATAACATTAAGAGCTGACCCAGAATGTTAAAAAAAATGTAATTTGGCAAAAAATATAATTGGGAAATATCTATTAATTTTTCTTTACACTCCCCACTGTTTGTTAACTCTTCCTAGGAAAATACAGCCTAAATAAGGTATCTTTTCCATGTTTCCATTTGAAAAGCAAGTGTACTCTTTCTGTGTTTTGAATTGAGATAAAATGATCACAGTAGATAGAACATGGGAGAAGGAGAGTCCTTGTTTCTTTTGTTTGGTTGGTTTTAAATTACACAATTACACAGACTTTTTCCACTGCTAATGACAAAATATAGCAGTGTTTCGTATTGCAGTTTAAAAGCTTGGAGACACATATGTATCGGGACATTTCTACCTATTTGAAAATTGGTCCTTATATTACAGCCGTGCTCAGGTCACCCAAGGAATCAATTTGTTCCAGCCTCTTGTTTGTTCCGAGACCTGTTGTTCAGCAAAAACAGCACAGCAGGGCAAATTCAGTGACCAAAAGCATGTGCAAACACTGAGGTAACAAATACCTTGAAGAGAATACCTTGAAAGAGTTTTATTTATATGTACATTTGAGAGGAGTATGAACGCAAACACATGATCACGTGGGAGATTACAGAAGTTACTCAGACAGCAGAAAGAATACTATATGGTTTGTGAGCGATCACAAAGTTCAGTTACAATCCGGAGAAATAACAACCTGATATGAGTAACACCCACTAAGCTGGTGAACAATCCATGTGCCAAATTTTAAAACCTAAATATTCAACAAGGGATGAGTAATGAACAAATTAAAAAATGAGTCCGTACATAAGAGGACAATTCATTAACAGAGAATAAGGGTTCAGGGTACCCTATCAGCTCTGACAGAATCAAAGAGATTTATTTTCTGACTCAGCTTTAAACAGGTGAGATTCATCCCATACAATGCACACTGCGCTGCCGGCAAAAGGCAATTTGCTGGCCGCCTGACTCTATAAAGCACATGAGCATCCAAAATCCTGGGGACCTCTGAAAACCCATACCAGACACTGATGTGCTCAACACAGTAACAGAAAATAACATCTTTTTCCCCAAATATATAAACTCCCTCCTGTTGCTAAAGCAGTATTTTTACAGTTGATAAACTTTTTCAAAGGGCAGGACTCTCTCAGCTAGAACAGGAACATCCCGTCTTTTTCGAGCAAACGCTGAGGCATTATGCCGAGCCTATCGGTCTGCTCAAAAAAAAAAACCAAAAAACAAAAAAAACCCACACTCTTGAGCGTTCACAGCAGGGGCCTGAGCCACCCAAAAAATAGAATCAGAGGTGAGGAAACAAACCAAAAAAAGTATTAATCTCCTCCCAGGAGTTGTTAGAGACCATAATGTTATCCGGTGTAACTGATGTGGGAGCACTGAGGGCTTTGCAGGATTGAAATAGCAGAAGCCTCTGCATTTGAAGATAGAGAACCGCCGGCAAGGTTTGCACGTGCAGGCATGGCTGGAAAAGCAAGAAGTTATACAGATGAGGATTGAATGGCACTGGGAGAGCTTTTCTAGGAAGTTTGGATGAAGCCCATACATCCAGTGCCAAGTTCTGGCACTACCAGACATTTCCACAAACTCAAAAACCCATCCAGAAATTAAGCATACCGTAGTGAAACTTCCATTGCTAAGGAAGAACAAAAGCAAAACAGTGTCTTCTGATCTCGCCTTCTGTTCTTGCGAGAGGTAAACTGTAACTAGAAGTGATTCAGATCAAAGCCATCCTATCCCTTATTGTTTATAAAACAACACAGTACCCTCAGGATTTGGCTAGATATAATTTTTGCTCTAATTTCTTTTCCATTTCCTCCCATGACTTCAGTGCTTCAGGATAGCCTCTTATCCTTTTATTCATAAAACATGATTAAAACATACCTAGCTCAAATGTTATATAAGATGCTGATGCTTTTGCTGTATGCCCTGTATAAAACAATAATAGAAGATGCAGAACTTCTTAACTAAAACCCTCCAGCAGGCAACTGCTATTACTTATATTTATTTATTCCCATCAGTATGCCAGAAAGCCTTTACTCTTCATATATCACTGTTCAGTAGAACTGATTGAGTAATTCTCAGTAGGGCATTTATATATATTTTACCAGTGAACTAATTTGCTACAACATTTATAGTTGGCAAATTCACAGAGAGAAGGACAGGGTCAAAGCAAGTTAAACGTTCAAACCACTACCTACGAAAGCACTCGCAGTATTTACTTGGATTTACTTTCAGCTGTCCCAAAGTCGTCCGATTTCCACAAAAGAGGCGGGGAGGAGGGAAGGGAAAAAAAGCAATAAAAACGCGGTCATAGCAAAAACAAGATTAGTCCTGAACGCTAACATAGTTTCAGGCTAACTGGAGAGAACAGGACTTGACCATTTAGCTTTTCTACATCAGCTTTAGCATTTCCACAGAAGGCAACTCTGCCTCAAGCAACCCATTTCAGACCATGACAGTCCTCGCGCCCTGTTGGCGCCTCTGCTCCTGCCCTTTCCCTGCCTGCTCTGCTCGAACAACCAGCCCATCATCAGCCCCTCGCTCGTCAGCCCCGCTGCGTGCCCCTAGCTCATGCCAACCGCAGGTCTCTCCCCGACCTCATACAAGAGGTCGCGGCTTCTTTGCTCCGCTGGCCGGCCCCCTCCGGCCGGCAGGTCTCCGACAAGACCCGGGACGGGGAGCAGAGAGGGGCTGGACTCGTTCTGGGCAGCTCCACAAGCAGTCGCAGAAGAGTTTTCCTATTAAACCATCTGCCGGTGCACTCGGCCACAGGCAGGTACAAGGAAAAAGCAACTTACCCCAGCCAATGCAGAGGTAAAGCCGAAAAATTCTCTGCTCAGAAAAGACTGAAAGTACCAGCAGTGTGTACAGGTACATGCCTTCCACCAGCAGCCAGTAGTAGTTTGCAGCCACACAGTACTGCATCAGCACGAAGACCAAACGGCAGCTGAGCGATTCCTGTGGCGGAAGAAAGCGCAGCCCAGATGAATGCAACAGGGGCTGAGAAGAAAGAGGCAAACTCACAAGCCCACTTCACCCTCCTGCTGTTACTCCCTCCTCAAAAACACGTTTGCTAAATTCATCACACCTGCGTACCGAAAGGGCAGAGGTCAGCCACAGCCTGGTGCTACCCCCAGCACACAGGCGCCTTGAACAACATTCCTCCTGTTAAAACATTTAAAAATTAAGTGTTCCGTATTTTTCTTCTCCATAATGTCCGCGTTTTAATTTGAAGAACAGCACACAAAGATGAAAAGAAAAGCAAATGAAAGAGAGTGTCCATATCAACTGTGCTCAGTAAATACTTTCATTTCCCCAGAGATTATATTCTGCAGCTGAGAATTTCTCTGTTAAAGAGCAAATATTTAATGCTACAGTGTTGACTATTATCCAAAGCAATTATTTTTAATAGAAGAGCAATATTGCCCAGTGCATCACATTTACGTGCAAAAATCTCTTGGCTGGTAAATTACAGAGAAGTGGTCAGGGGGGCTTTAGATAAGTAAGAAACTTAATTAACTAGTTAATTTATCCATCAGATCTGACGGAACCATTGCTGGATAAACCACATGCAAAAGCACAAAGCCTAGCCTAGAAGGATTGACAATCCAAAGTGAACACTTCCAAATCTTGCGTTTAAGGTACGTAATACAGTATTATTTTCTGCCAATCAATATACTGCAAATGAGAATAAATCAACTGTCTTATGAGATTCACTCATGTGGTATTAGTACTTAAGCCTTAGGTGGAGTGTCGGAAAAAGATGGATACCACCCATCCATCAGGAGAAATACTCTTTATGATGCCAACCTTGTATTTCAGCAGCAAACACTGGGCCCATGTTCTAGAATCACAACAGCTATACAAATAATGAAAATCCATTTCTTTGAAGATTCAGTAACATTTTGTATAACAAATAGGAAGGGGGAAAGGCATAAAACATGCTTTCATCTTATTCACAAAAGAGTCGTATATCCTCTCCATTTGATTATAAGTATTTAATTAGCCTGTTCCTCCAAAGCTTTTCTAAATGCTTTTGAATTTGCATTTTAATCAGACGCTTCCCTTTTCCCATCATTAACAGATTATAAAGGTCTCTTAAGAATGACGAAATAATTTGATCGTTACACCAGAGGGACATGCCTGTCACAGAAGGTGCTGGCTTAGGGAACCGAACGCTCTGCTGTCACCACTGGAAGAGCTGAATTTGCAGCACTGGAAGAAGACGTGAGCGCTTGTATGCTGCCAAAAAGATCCAGCTCTTCACGTTACTTCTACCTGGAAGGGGCAACCCCTCCCTGCAGGCAGAGAAACACCCCATGGCATCAATTACTTGTCTGCAGCAAGCCCAGGGTGGCACAACCACAACCAGCATACATTAGGCTACCAGATTCAGGGAAAATTTGTGGACTGAAAACAGTATTTTGGACAACGCTCACTGTGCAATATGAAATTACCTGCTGTCATGCAGACACACCACAGTGATGACTGCAGTATCCTGAGAACCACCACAGTGTCTGCCCCTACCTGGAAGGAGATAAGTCCTTCCCACTGGTGCTCTTGTGTAGCTGTGCTGTACATCCATTTCACCACGGAGTCCTTAATGAAGACTGATATGGCACGGAGGATAAAAGAGGTGAAAAGGTTCAGGTGAATATAATTCCTGGTGCAATGCAGATGTCTGCAAAAAGGAAAAAGTGGTCATCATCCAATAACTGTGTCAAAGCTGCAATACCACAGATATGAATGAGGGAGGGAAGGATGAGCTCTATTTCAAGTTAGGAAATACCAGAGCGAATCCTGTAACTTAAGAATGGCTGTGGGGATTTCAGACTTTCTGTGGGAAGAAATCACTATCAAGGAAAAAACATGCAAAACTTCACCCCAAAGGTGAACATTCGCAGGATGGCAGAGGAGATCAGTGTGTAAGTAAAAATTATTCTAAAAGTTTAAAAAGTATAAAAATTAAGTGATTTTCAGAAGGCCTATCTGGAAGGTCTAAACACTTCAACTTTCACATAATGTTGTATCTAATCTATTTCAGTTGATCCCAATCTCACTGCACAGGTTTGCTTTGGCAGGGCTCAGGAACTGATACACAGTACAGCTTCAGGCTGTGCCCAAGTATCCCTTCCCACATGGAAGGGATACATGGGAAAAATATCCCATGTATAAATTACCACTTCAACAAGAGAAAAAACTGTACTCCAATTGCCTCCCGGCAGAATTGTAAATACCTTTTGTGGAACTAAAAGGAACACGATTTTCACCTCTGTATTCAAATTTGAAAACAAAAAACAAAGAAAAATCCTCTTGAATTTCAGCAGCCAGCTGCAAAGACAACAAAATTGCTACTTGTCAGAGAACAGCATGTTAAAGGATAGCAAAGGAAAATGCAGTCACGTAAATGACACCCACCAGCAGAGTGCTGCCAATATTTTACCAGCCTCGCCCACAAACTCTTTTTTTCCGAATATTGCAAGGGTACACACTTTGCTTCAAAGGAAGCTACACTGCATATAATTCTTTTTTAACCCTAAAAAAATACAGGAAACATATTATAAACAGTTTCAAGGAACCTGTGCTTTAAATGCCTGTTTTTACTGCTCTAAGAGTTCAGGTAGGAAAGCAGACTTGGTGTAAGAGTTATCAGCTTTACGCTGAAGCCAAAGGAGAACTTTTTTCTGTATAGCTTAAATAGAATTTCTTGTAAGTCATGGGTCATTTCAAAATTTACCTATGATAAATATTTATTTTCCTTTAACTCAAAACTTCTTTGCTGCCACCCTTCGGAGTTGCCACACATTTAAATCTGACTGAACATTTATGTATATTAGCCAATTGAAAATAAGCTGGCAAGCAGTATTTCCAAAATACCGAGTATTTCTGCTGCAGCCAAAGCAAGTTACGCAAGTGGTTTCAGTCATGAAGTTACGTGTCTAATGCAGCTTCCATCACTGAAATTACAGATTTTTCTTCCGTTACTTTCAGAAGAGGCAAACTTAGATACTAGAGATCTATTGTTTTCTCTGTTGAATGGTTATCAAAAATGAATATGAAGGCTTTTCTGTAGGCTAAGAACTTATAAAGGCCTTCCTGCTATGAAAGTGCAGAAGATAAGCATTCTGATGCCACTGAATCAAGTTTCTCTACCCAGCAGGTAAGCAAGCGTGCACACCTACCTGGGAGAGGCTGCAAGCAGAGGCTCCAGCCAGTGATTACAGTCTAGGGGGAAACAGTGTTTAATGCCAGGGGTAGCATTAATAGCAAAGGACTATGAAAAAAACATTAAAAAATGAGGTCTCATGCACTTCATGAGATCCTCCTGGATGAAGTTATCCACAGACAGAAAATTTAGACAGGAAATCAGTAAGTAGTTTGATTGAAGTGTTTTAATAAGGTTCTCCATCCCTTTAGTGTCTCCAAAACCTCGTTTTCAAAATCAGAAATTCTTCATCAAACACGTAACACATCGTTTCCTTCTCTTCTCTCTCTTTCACATACACACTTCTCCAGTCCTCACATTACAGTTAAAGGAAAAAATACTAAAGAATTTCTCCACTAAGAATCAGAATATCAAAATTCTCTCCCTCCTAGCAGCCACCCGTGACAAAGTTATTCTTTATTTCCTGCCAAATATATGCACGTGCTTCCTTCAGAAAGTACATGGTTGTACTCTGTGATCTTTACATTTGGGCTGCTAAGATTACTCAAAAAGTGTCATTGATCAGTGAAACAAGGAGAAAGCACTTAACCTGGGAGACATTTGGAGACTTCAAGACCATCTGGTGTTTTGTCAGATCAGTCCCTAAGTTGCACAGGTGACACATGTACAAATCACAATTATCATCACGTGGCATTCACAGAGGGTGAGCATGTCTGTACCTTTTTGTAGCAATTTAACATCTTTGAGATAGCTAGCCTTATGCTTCTCCACTGGACAGAAGAGGTATAATATGATGGTGTGGTACAGTATTGGAAGGCTTGGCTTATTTAGTTTGAGAAAATAGAGGCTAAAAGGCATGACTGATCTCTTTAAATACATAATGGACATAAGGACTTACGAGGGAGGAAAAGAAAGGGACTTTCTTGCTAACAGATAGTTCTTGCACCAGAACTAACGAGCATTAACGGGTAATGCCCATTATCGTCAGAGCAGAAAGTGTCTTAAGCATTAGAGCACTGAAAGTTCCTGACCTGACTCCAAGTAAGAGTACTATGAGATACAAACCCATGCTATTTTAAAAGGCAACCTCACCAGCATGTCAGAGGGATAAAAGGACACGACTGCCTGCAATAGCCAGGAGCGGGACTTGACAGAGAGCTCCTTCCCACAACAGAATAGGAACACATCTTCATGTTTTCTAACACCCGTCTCCTGTCCTCAATGCCCCCAAACTGCAGGTAAGTCTAGCTGGAATCAGTGAGATACCTACTGCATTTACACAGAAAAAAGAGAGATCTCTGTTGGAGTGCAAACTTTTTTTCTTTTTGAGCAAACCTACACAGTGTAGCACTGGCTTGTACCCAACTCAAGAAGGTTTTACAGCCACTAGACTCTTAATTTTGATGCACTCCATACAATTTGTTGTTGCACACGTGGAGGAACCCAGTATGTCGGCCGGGCCAGGTGGCAGCAATTTATTTCACAGAAAGCTTTCAAGTTTCAAAATTAGATTCTTGTTCCAAATTAAAAAAGAAATAAGAGTTCAGGAAAGTTTTCCAAAAAGAGAAATTGTGTCAAAAATCCATTTCTACATCAAAATACACCCTCCACGTCGGGGAGCAGAAGTGAGCCAGATTTAAGTCTATGCTCTGTGTAATTCCAAGCAATGCAAGACAAAACCTTCCATCCTAAAGGTCCTCCTGCATTCAAGACTAGTGCCCCATCTCCAAGTCGATGTCATGAGGAAATGCTGGAATTGCTCTTGTTCTTTCATCTCTTCCAGTGGAAATGTAATTGAAATCAAAAACACCACAATATAATATTTCAACTTATAAATAACAGTATATGATCCATACATTCATACTGGCAACACTGCAAAAGTTTAGAATTTTTAATTGAGTTTTGAGGAGAACTGATTGCAGGAAAGAATACAGAGGTGACAAAGTAGAGAAATCCTGAGGTGATGGAGGAAGGGAAAAGTCAAATGTTTCTGTTGAAGTCTGATACTGTTATTTAGAAAAATATAACACTTTTCTCCACTCTCTTCAGAGCTTCATCAGTTACCTGAATCCAAGAAGAATGGCAGTTGCTATTACAAGGGCAGAGAAGGAAAGAGCATATCCAATGGTGTATATGATGGACAAATTCAGGAGCTGTTCTTCTGGTGCATCCTGAGAGCAGATAAAGGAGAAAAGGAAAAAAGAGGGAGAGGAAAGAGCTCATCGGCTTCAATTCTTTTCTCCCACCTGCTTTCTAACTTTTCTTATTGATACCCAGAAGTCATTCTCTTACTTTCACAGTTTAAAACACATGCATCAAATCAGTCTTCCCCTTTTCATAGGTTCCAAAGAAACAAAAGTTTAATCTTAACTCCTCAGCTGCTCCTAGATGTTCCCTCAAACACTTGGACGTTGCAGCCAGGCTAGAAAGTAGACAGTGTGGCATTATTTCATCATAAAGTTGGAGAGGAGTGAATTACCACACAAGCGGGTGCTAAACAGATGGCTAGGCAAGACGAATAGACATACCTCAATCCTGCAGAAAAAACGGCAGTCAATGTTTTCAGCCTTGAATGCTCAGAGCCAGTCCCCTTATTGTAGCACTGAAGGGTTTCCTTTGGCTACACCTATACCTGGAAATAAAACGAGCAAGGCCCCCTTCTCTGGCTCTGATGTCAAGCATTCTCTTACTTTCAGCATTCATACAGGAGGCTTGCATTCATACAGCTGAATTTCTTTCTGCTCCCAAACAGTCCCTCTTCTGCCTCAACCACACTGTCTACTGGGAGCAGCCCTGAGCCCACAGCATCACACGAACCACACGTGCCAGTGGCTGGGAGCGAGTGGCCAGGATCCAGAGCACACCCCAGATCGCTCAGGGACAGCACGGCAGGGATGTCCGCGCCCCAGAGGTCCTGCGCTGGGGCTCTCCTCGGATACCCCACTGAAGACAGGGCCACTTCAACCCCAGCTTGAAAGTACTGGCCAAAGTCTTTGCGGAGAGGACAACTATGTGAAAAACTACAGGCAGGTCTGAAATGGGATACAGGCTTGGTGCTTGGGCTCTGAGGCGCTTTCATACTCTATATTCTGGCTCTTCTCTAAGCACATAGCTTTGTCTAAAACTCAGGCATTTTTCTTGCCCACTTCAAGTCCCTGATTCTGCAGCTGACTTCCAAGACCTGTGCTGTACAAAGGAATATACTCCTTGTACTTCAGAAATAAGTACAGCTATTCAGATGTACTTTGTATAACCAGAAGGGTTTAAGGTGAATGTAAAGGCTGTTGCTCAGGGATTTGCTAGGTTAATGTTTTAAGAGGAAGGTTATGAGAACTACCTTATGTAAGAGAAAAGAAAGATCTCCTCAGTATCAAAGCCCAGGCAAACTACCGAGACCTGATAATTTAAAACATTTACGCAGATCAGAACCACATTTTATATTTAAGGAAAACAATGTTCTTTTAGAAGGATTCACTCATAAATCCTTGGGATTGTCTTTTAGCAACACTTGTAACATATTATGAAATAAACTTATCAAAACCAACCTCTTGTCTCTAGAAGACATAACTGGACGGTTTGGGGTTCTACATACATTTAACTGGAAAAAAGAAAAACAAACGTGGCTGTTCACGTTTCAGGGAGTGACACCACGTATGTAGGTTTTCAGTGTCAAAATCAGTAGACCCAGTTCACAGAAATGACACAGGTGCCAAACGACCAAATGTTGCCACTAGGCATCTGTCTCAACACAGCTCTGGAAGAAACCATGGTGGCAAACACTTTGGGTTGAGATAATGCACTCTGCTGGGATACTCAAGGCTGTGGAAAGGACGAGGAATAAGGCTGTAAATTAAGGGGAAGAGTTAACTTTTAACGTATTTGAAGGAATAAAAATCTCTTTCCTGTTTGCAGCCCTCTATTCCTTCTGAAGAATGAGACCTTGAAAAACAAGGAATTTCAGAGGACGCAAGCATCCCAGAGCACTTGGGAATTTCATATATTTGAACTGGTTTGGGTAGGTCTGTACTAGTTCCCAGCACCCCTGAACAGTGACTGTGCACTCAGTGCACAGGTCTAAGGAAAAGCATCGCTCTCAGAGCAGCACAGCTGCAACGGTTATCGCGTGTCATGAGATCGCACACAACGCACTAGTTGATGCCAATGGCTTACAAAAATCCCTTGGAAAGCCCTCCCTTGTCCTTTACATGGTACCAAGTGTTCCAGCTCCCCACTGAGCAATAGAGCAAGAAAATAGACTGAGAGGCCTAATTTAATAGCCCGTGTTCAATTAAGGGAAATAAAACAAAACAAAGCCACCACAACAAAACAAAAAGTAGGAACCAGGAGCCACTCCCCCAAAGGTGAAACGGTGAAAAGCAAAGATCCTTCAGTTCTGTTAATCTTAACCATCTTAGTAGCTGCTAACAAGACACAGAGAACAAGTAGTAATTTTACTTTAGCAACATTCTGCCAGTGGAAGAAAATGCAAAGGACTAATGCTTGGTGACTTCTCCCCTTTGAGCCCACCCTACCGCGACTGAGAGTGAAGCGCAAAACCCAAGCAACTCATTTCCCCTCACGAGCACTGCCAGGAGGGAGCATCCTCTTGCTGACCACAACGTGCTTCCAGGCTGAATTAGAGACCCCAGCGCTGCTCCACACCTGCATTGGTCCAGTTCACTTCTCCTAGCTGTTTCACATGTGTTTAAAGCTGCCATTTTCCACCCTACACGGTAAAGGCCTAATGTTGCTTTAACATTAGACTGACTGCAGTGAGACACCCACAATGAGTTAGTAAGGTTACTGTGGTAGGACAAAAATGCATGAACCCCAATACACTTATTTTTCCTCTGTTCTGTGTTATTCTAGACAATTACAATAGCAACAACAAATGGAAACCCTTACCCGGTCAGAGGCCTCGCACTCGGACAGGTTCCTCCATGGCAGGGTCGAATTCTCCTTTAGGAGCCAGGTCCCTTCAGCGGTGCAGAAGCGGTAAGCCTGCCCATGCAGCACTGCCAGAAACCAGAGGGGTAGCGGGGTTAACAGGGGAGAGCCCGCAGCGGGGGTAGGATGTGCAGAGCAGTCCGGGGCTCAGCCCAAGCTGCCTTCCTCACTCATTGCTTCCTTAGCTGGAGGGGGGATGCGCAGCATTACCGGAGGAGCCCTTCGCTTGCTCCTCACCTGCAGCCAGTGCTTCTGCTCCTCATCCTCAGGGCCAGAGCGCAGACGAACAACGCTGCAAAGGGATCGGACAGCGCGCACGCCAGAACAAACATCCACAACAGCTCTGAAATACTTGCTGCGACGGGGGAAAAAAAATCTTTGTGTGCATTTTCAACACACACAAATTCCAATTCATGGAAATCTTAGATGTAAAGCCTCACAAAGTTTGGAGTCGCTCAGCCCCAGCTACAAAATTCAGATGGAGAGGAAGGCGCACAAAGAGTAAACGTACTCCTTTGCTTCTGAGCTCGTGCAGAGCCAGCAACAGAAAAACCTCAGAACAGATATGCTAACACAAGGCCCCCAAAATGTATATGCTTATATGAACATCTGTGCTAGAAAATGAAGCCATAAATCTTTGCCTAAACTACTCATTTTTTTTATTCCTTCTGCCTGCATGTTTGGATAGCAAAACCAGCAATAAATCAAATGCCGTTCAAAAGCAGTTAGCAGCTTCATCTTGTAAAAGCAGATAAGATGAAATGGCTCATAATAAAATTACACCAGACCAAAGCACCAAAATAAAAGTACTACGGGTAAGGAGCACTCAACCACAGTATTTTAAAAAAAAAAAAAAAAAAAGGAAATGCTCTCTCTGGTGGCTGAAGTGCTGGGGAAGTCTAACGACTCTCACTAACCTGCGTGAGCATTTTGAGCCTGCCCCTGTGTCACGGTGCGGATACAGCAGTGACGCTGCTGCTTCGCCAGCAAAGTTCCCTCCTAATTGCATTTCCAGTGCAGGAAGCCAACTGCTCGGGTACAGGTTAAGAAGCTGCTATTTGCTAATCAACGTTGGGGCAAACCACTAATCAGGGTTAGCCCCTACCAAGGCAGCGCTGTGACACAGACACTTCACACAGATGCTGCCGACAATTTTGATGTGTGAGAAGCCGAGTTAAGAGGATTCAATGCCGCACAGGCATATTTTGACATCTCAGTCCCAACCTCTCCCTGCTGAAACCTCATCCTGTTGCTAAGACCTGAAAGTCAATCAGTTCCACCATTAGCCCAAACTAGAACCTGCTAAAAAGGGGTATTCTGCGCAACGGGAAATTCTGACATTTTAAAAGAAGTTCAAATATTAAAATTTATTTGAGACAATTTAAAAAAGCACAAAATAACCTGGTGACTATTTGTATATTAGGTGACAACTGGTAATTTGTTTGATGATTCATTGTCAGTGGCACACTAGCAGTAGCTATTGTCAGTGAAGAACGGTGTTTTAAAAAATAATATAGACATTGATATGCTAATGAGTCATTTGAAAAGAGGATTCTAAATGGCAACTGATAATGGTTTTGGTAATCACGGGCTATTTGTAATTGGTGTATTTATACCAATGTACATGTTATTGGTGTATTTGGTCTATAATTAAATGGTAACTGAGATAACATAAAAATAGCTATATCTGGTGGAATATTTTCCATCCTATTCAGTATTTCTGTTGGCATATATTTACATAAAAACAGGAGGAGAGATTAGGCCTGTGCTTATAATATACACATTCACATTTATTAACTACTTCGCATATTTTTTTCCACTTGCTCTCATTATTTACTGCCAGTGCCAACTACTTCCTTAGGTGGGGATGTTGTTACAATGTTAAGCATATCATGTAGTGGAGGGTAGTGAATATGAAAGCGTCAGTTTTTCCTCAAGATTTAATCAACGGCAAGTTGAAGTAACCCACAGAAAACATCTGTGCAAGCCCCTCAGACAACTCCAGAGCTGTCAAGACAGGAATTAGCATAATGAAGAATCAGTAAAGATCATATATAAAAGCCAATCCAGTAGAAGTCCAGGGGCTTGAAGTCTAGGGGAACACAGGACACATAGATTCAATCTAACTGCCGTTGCATGAACTATAAGCAAGACATATTACAAGATTAAACTAAGAAAACAATCTCACACAAAAAAGAACTCCACTATATGCCTGAAGAGAGAGAAATAGTTTGTGAAACTGTTTTGGTTTTTCTTTTTCTTCCTTTTTCTTTTTTTTTTTTTTTCTTTAAAGTCTTCTAACTGTCAAGGTCTAATTGGGATGAAAGCCGAACCTCCATATACCTATTTTTCTTCTAAATCAATTAGTGATACATTTTCATTTTAATTTGCTTTTTGTTGATAAAATTTCTTTTGAAATAATAAGGAGGAAACTCTATTGTATACTGAAGGCTGGCATATATATTGGAGAATGAACTAGCATGCATTTATAGTAAACGGAACATCAAATTTGCCATTAGACAGAAAGATAAGGCAATTCCTTTAGATATGAAGAAAAAAACACTAGTTATCACCATGTTTTATATATTATCAGGGCTACAAAGAGGATGAGGGGACTGGAGCATCTCTCCTATGAAGAGAGACTGCGAGAGCTGGGCCTGTTCAGCCTGGAGAAGAGAAGATTGAGAGGGGATCTCATCAACGTGTACAAGTATCTGAAGGGGGAGTGTCGAGAGGGTGAGGCCAGCCTCTTCTCCGTGGTGCCCAGTGACAGGACAAGCAGCAACGGGCAGAAACTGAAACACAGGAAGTTCCACCTAAACCTGAGGAAAAACTTCTTCACTGTGAGGGTGACAGAGCACTGGCACAGGTTGCCCAGAGAGGTAGTGGAGTCTCCTTCACTGGAGATATTCAAAACCCATCTGGATGTGATCCTGGGAAATATGCTCTAGAGGACCGTGCTTGAGCAGGGAGGTTGGACTAGCTGATCTCCAGAGGTCCCTTCCAACCTAAACCATTCTGTGATTCTGTGACTAGACCATGTTAAAAGCAGCCATTTTAAAAATGAAAAATAAATGCTTTCCTTCAACATAAGAATAAGCATTTTGATTATGTTGAAGTGATTATTTCTGATCATTTAAATGCATCTTTTCATACAAGTCATCTTCTGTCTCCACTGAAAACTGAGTTTATTCTTTCATTTCATTTCATGAAGGGAAGGAAACCCAATAATTATACCAGAAAGAAAAATTCTTGCCACCTCGATGCGTCACAAACGCTCAAACTGAACAGGCAGCTGTTACGGACTTCTGGGTAGCAGCCAGCCAGGTGCCCCAGGCTGCTGTACCTTCACCGCCCACCAAAAAGGGGTAGCCGGTGCAGGACCCAGAGGCAGCCAAAGACCACCTGGGCTGCCTCAGGAAGAGTCTTAAGCAAAAAATGTTAGTCAAACCAAAAATCCAAACAGAGGAGAGTGTACATGAGCAGGACAGCATATGCGTGTGTGGTCTCACGAATCGCTTAGCAGCCAGAAAGTTTATTAGGTAGAAAAAGTTAAAAGAAAAAGTCAAGTTCTTAGGCCCGCGGTGCCCAGGACCCACTCCTGGCTCCTCACGATTTCCCAGAAGCACAAGGAAACCAGCCACCATCTGCCCACCCTCTCAGCGATGGGGTCCCTCACAGACAGGCACCCGCTACTGCTCAAACGACGAGAGGCCATTAATGACCAACAGCTCCTGTGAGATGTTACCTTAATTGAATGCGCTCCCCTGGTGTCCCTGCCTCACTGAAGAAGGGCACAAAGAGCAGTCTCAGGGCCAGACTCCACCCTGGCTCACCTCCAAAATAACTGATAAAAGCCCTAAGTGGAGATTTTAGGTCTTGTTATTATATGAGCTTTTGCTGCAAATCAATAACAACATACAAGCTAAATTCTTATCTTTGCTCAGTGAAAGCAGTTCCAGTTAATTTCAAAGGGATCCACTGCGTTTAATCGGGGACATTTAAGGTAAAACTTCGATCCAAGCAGTGCTGAAATATTCTATCATTCTTAACTGGTCAGAGGAAACCATATGGCTTGCATCAAAGCTACACTGCAAATGTTCTTACAGACAATTTTTGAATGGACTTAATACTACTCCCTCTCTGCAGGGCTGGTCGTGGCTCAGGATGCCAAAGATCTTAGAAGTTCTAAAACGATAAAGAGACAGCATTTATAAACTTTTTTTTCTTTGCCATGGACCTGATCCAAAGCTTACTGAAGTCATCAGCAGCGTCATTGCCCTCGGACTAGGCCTTTGCTGGAAAAAAAAAAAAAAACCAATTAACGCATATGGAGGCAAACTAACAACCACATGCTAAGAAGCTGCCTGTGTGCCACAAGAGAGTGAAGGCACACACATACAGCTTCCCCATCGACTGTGGCCTGTTTTAGCTTCCTACCTGTCTAAGCAGCCTGCAGAGGTGATTCACGTTTGTCCACCCCTCACTTCAACAAAGTGACTCAGGCCCTCCTGCCTTTAATGCAATGCTAACACAGCATGCAAATACTTACAGCACAATGATCAGCTCCAGTTCCAATAGATTGCCACGATAAAAAATCTTTTTAAAGAGTTCCTCTGAAAGCTTAGCGCCTCCTCACTACCCTACAATACCTTTTTCCTGTATTGCAATGCTTTTCACTACTGCATAGGCAACATTTCACCTCGCGCCTATTGTTACACTCTAGAATTAGCGATCAACCTGACAGCCAAAAAATCTACAGCCGATACACTGGGATTCTGATTTTGTTCAATCTGTAGGCTGCATGTGTTCGCTTAGGAAGTTGCGCACCCTTTGGAATAGGAGATTAATGAAGCTGGTTTATCTGAACAGTGTCAATCCCACTTCACTAGAATTACATCTTAAAACACTGATGCCCAAAACTCAAACAAGTCTTTGTAAACTGATAAAAAATAGAGAGAGGCCCAGAGTTAGTACTGAAGTTAACATCACCATCCATCTTGTTATTGAATGACCCTGTAAATCAAATCAAACGCCACCTCTAGCCAAACACTTTTATATGTGGCAA